GTAGTATGTTTGCCAGTTGAGCTTGATGTCCCCTGCAACCATGGTCCTGAGTCCGTGGGCCCAGGAGTCACCCATTTTTTAAAGATGAGAAAAGTAGGTTGGATTAAATAGCTGAGCAGTGTCTGATTGGGCCAGAGATGAGGGCTGGGGTGTCACAGTTATTTGGGAGCGTCCAGTGTGTTGCTCAGCGTTGGGCCCATAGGGCACTTGCCTAAGAAATTGGGCCTGGGCAGGAGTGGGAGAGAACCTCACTTGAGAGGGAATGTCAGCCACTGACCGTATGGTGGGTGTCGCTGATGGCCTTCCTTAGACATCATCAACAGGAGGTCAGGAGGCAGCTGTAAGAGCACACCCATGCTCCCCGTTTCCCCCAAGCTGTAATCACAGAGCAGAATACACAACACAGGGCCTGGTGCTCACCTGTGCCCCAATCAAGTGGACAGGTTATTTCATGTGTCACCCCACATCCTTTTGGGAAGTAGGCAGCTATAAATGATCCAGTTAGATCCCTTCACTGGCCATCAGTTCTCTAACACAGTTTAGATCAAATGATGCCTCAGGTCTTTCTAGGCCTGCTCTTCTGATTCCACAAGGGACCAGGCGCCTAGCCTCTATGGAGTGTCCCCAGGGTCCCTCTGGGCTTGACAGCCACGGTGGAAAATGGCGTCACCATCAGGATTCGCAGAGGAGCGCAAGGGGTGTCAGCTTCAGAGGCATCAGGGCTTCCTGCTGGTGTTCGGTTCATCTTCCCAGGGTCCAGTGTCGACGGTTTCCTGGTTCATCAGAGCTGGACACATTTCCCCGCCCTAATTATTCTTTCTCCTTCCTCATAGATACGTGAACGCTTTCAAATTCATGAGCCTGGAAAGAATCAAAACCTTTGAAGAACTTTCACCAAATGGCACCTGCAAGCTTGATGTGAGTAATGATGCTGACCCGCTCCCTGCACCCTGACGAACCTTTGCCACTTCATCTGACACAAACCCAGAGGCGGGTGGTTCTAGGTCGATAGGGCAATGAGGGGGGCTGACAATGAGGCTTAGCTGTGCAGAGCTGATCTGGAAGTGGAATGCCATGGCTGGAAGATGACCCCAAGTTCACCCCAGGGTCCCACTCATCGCCTGGTAGAAATTTCAGCCACAGAGGAATGGATGCCTTGAGTTATGGTGTTGGCAAAGAAGACTGAAGGCACTGCGGACTACCAGGAGAATAGACGAATCTGTCTTGGAAGGGGTGCAGCCAGGATGCCCCTCAGAAGCGAGGATGGTGAGACTTGGTCTCACACGTCATCAGGAGGGACCAGCCCCTGGAGAAGGACACCATGCTTGGGAAGGTAGAGGGGGGTCACTGAACGAGAGAAGAACCCTCGACGAGATGGGTCAACACAGTGCTGCAACGGTGGGCTCGAGTATGGCAAGGGTTGTGAGGCGGGCCCAGGGCCGGGCGGTGTCTCGCTCTGTTGGACACAGGGTCGCTGTGAGTTGGAACTGACTGCTGCACCTGATAATAACAACTTCATCCTTCAAGAAACTTCATTATCTCTTTGAAGTGTCTTGGGGATCACTGTAGCATCAGCATGACATTGCTTTCAGACTAGCACAGAGTAACTCCAAACTGCGTGACTGGCTAGACCTTGTGACACAAGAGAGTGGCGTCTCCTGGAGCAGCCTTGGGATTCTGCGGTCAGCCTTCGTACATTGAATGTTCTACCCCCTACGGTTCTGGAGGCTGTATGGCCATCTCCACCAGCCTTACTGGGAGAAAGGACCCAGAAGACCTTGGGAAACCCAGCTCTGTTTTTGCAGGCCCTGGGATGTGGGGTCCAGAGAACAAGGGGAGGGGAGGAGGGACAGGCGTGAGAGCACCCCTGGTCTCACAGAGCCTGTCCCAAGAGTGTGCTCCATGTGGTCATCACCAGTGCCTTTAGGATGTGCTTTCTGATTTGCTGTGGACTTAACCGTATCGATGAGATGACGTGTTGCGCTGGGCAGATGTGCTGTAGAAGGCCTCATTAAAGTGCTGAAGGGCAGAGTCGGCTGCGAAGACGTGTCATGTGCCATCGAGTCGGCCCCAACTCATAGCGACCCCTCCTCGGGTTTCCGAAGCAGTATCACTATGGAAGTAGATTGTCCCATCTGCCTTCTGAGAAATGGCTGGTGGGTTTGAACCACCAGCCTTCTGGTTAGCAGTCAAGCGCCTTAGGCACTAGGCTACCAGAGCTCCTACTTAGAAGACTAAGGTGCACCTAACTCCAGCTATGGTATTCTCAGTAGCCTCATAGTCGTGTGAGAGCTGGACAGTGAGTAAGACAGAAGAATTGCTGATGCTTTTGAGCTGTGGTGGTAGTAAAGAATACTGACAGTACCTTGGGCTGCCAGAAGAACTAACAGATCTGTCCTGGAAGAAGTGCAGCCAGAATGCTCCTTAGAGGCGAGAATGGCCAGACTTTGTCTCACCTACTCTGCTCATGTTGTCAGAAGGGACCGTTCCCTGGAGAAGGATGTCATGCTTGGTAAAGTGGAGGGTCAGTGAAAAAGGGGGAGGCCCTCAACGAGATGGACTGACACAGTGGGTGCAATGATGGGCTCAGGTGTAACAGGGATCGTGAGGCTGGGGCAGGACCAGACACCTAACAGCAACAATAACCATATAAAACCACCTCCCACGATGTACTCACTGTGCTTGCCTTGCTACCTCAACCAGTTGGGAATGTTTTGTGCCCGCCCTTACTGTATTTCCATTGTCTGGATCAACACCAATAGACAGTTTATGCCACGTGCTTCCAATGAGTTTCATTGTCTCCATCAAACGGGAAGTGTCATCCCCAGACACACCATCGCCACGATCCAGGAGCTCTCAGAAGTGCAGGCTCAAGGCCCAGTGCAGACGTCCTGAATCCTTCTGACAAGGTCCCCAGGTGAACCACGTGTGTGAAAGCTTGAGAAGCAGTGGCGATGACTGTCCTCATTGGAAGGGCCTGCCAAACCAACCACAGAGGGAAGGGGTCACTGCCCAGAGGCCAGCCAGAGACGAGGCAAATCACCCTGAAATGACAACCATCTCAGAAACATGCCTAGAAACGTTCAAGGTCATGACGGAGAAGCTGCAGAACGCAAAGTCAAGGAGCTGGAAATTTGGTTTTGCTGTTTGGTAAGGAGCTCCAGCAGCACAGTGGTTCAAGCATTTAGCTGCCAACTGAAAGGGCAGTGGTTCAAACCCACCAGCTGCTCGCCTGGAGAAAGATGTAGTCTGTTTATAGTTCATGTTGAAGGAGATGGTGGGGAAAAACGTGATGAATTCCCTCCCCTCTAACCCTTTCCAGCCTGTTGGTGGTGAATGAAACAGGACAGTCTCTTTCCTTGTTTGCTGATTCTGAGGACAGCCTGTGGCCCAGGAGGAGACCTGCAGGGTGGCAGGAGCACCTACTGGAACATGCTGTGTGCACACTGTCGTGAGCAGTCAGACGTAATTGCTGGAAACTATGCTCAAGGAGGGCCTGAAAATTCTACAGAAAAAAATTAAATGATGTCTTTATAATTTTTTAGAATTTTTGCACATCACAGCCACTCAACAACTTAGTGTGCCCGTAGGTAGTCTTCATCTGCCAAGGTTACTTTCACTATCTTCATGCGATAACTTGCATTGAAATGGACTGTGGAAGATGCTAACCTGTTACCTTCAATTTTCTTTCTTGTTTAAACTGAAGAAAGTTAGACTTCTGTATCTCAAAGCGGTCTCAAAGTCACAGGGTACAGCCACTGTTTGTAACAGACAGTTTGGGTTGCACAAGTGAGGAGAAGGCTTTGCTCCATAGGCAGGGATGTGAAGGGTGAGGGTGGTGAGTGCAGGATACCAGGTGTGCAGCCCAGTGACATGGTGTGGACCCCT